AGTAAGTTATTAGTGAAGCTTTGTATAGATAAACCCAGTCAATATTTTATCTTCTGTCCTAGTGCCTATAGTAAATGGTAGTTCCCTTTTTATGACCTTTGGCTAATGGTTTTACAACCTCTTGGAATGTGCTCTGAGTAGTAGGTGCCTGCTTGCTCTCTCTGAAGCAATTAACTCATGACACTAAAGACTGGCAGAATTCTCATTGCAGTTTTGATATAAGAGAAGACCTAATAGTGGCTGGAGAGGTGGCTCAGCACTTGAGAGCACTGACTGCTCTTCCAGAGGTTCTGAGTTCAATTCCCAGCAGCAACCACATGGTGGCTCACAACCATCTGTAATGGGATCCAATGCCGTCTTCTGGTATTTCATTGGTGTACTCACATACATTAAATAAATTTTAAGAGAGAGAGAGAGAGAAGGAGGGGAGGGCAGAGAGAGAAGGCCCTAATAGTAGTCCCAGTATAAAAGAGCGTAATAAGCACTGATATCATTTTAGGAATTCTTACAGGATCATCATTAAGAATTAAGAAATCCTCTATTTGCCGGGCAGTGGTGGTGCATGCCTTTAATCCCAGCATTTGGGAGGCAAAGGTGGGTGGATTTCTGAGTTCAAGGCCAGACTGGTCTACAGTCTGAGGGCTCAGCCATCTTTGGGCCATTTGAGCTTTTGGATTCTGGCCGTGTCCCTTTCTGTATTCAGAGGATTGGGCTCAGATTAACCTTGGGCTTCTCCAGTAGTCTCCTATCATTTAATCCAGGGATGGTGGCAGGGAAACGTGGCGAAGGGTTAAGGGCACACCTGACTGCCACCCGTCTTATCTCCCCAAGGTGAAGGCAGACATTAGGAAGTCTTGGAGCCGCTAGACACTGGCATTGGACTTCAAGTGTAAAGCTCAGAGTGGAAGTAGCAGGTAGAGCTACGGCAATGGTGTCTCACACGAGTGTGACCAATATGGGCCCCCTTGCAGGAATCAGTCTTCCCCTCAGCCCCCGCCTGCTTCCTGCCACCACCAATGGCCACTCCCAGCTGCCCGGTCATGCCAAGCCAGGTGCTCCAGCCGAGTTTATCTTGAATCCACTTGCCTCTGCTTCTCAAATGCTGAGACTAAGTAGGCTTTACTTTTTAAATTCTTACTGGTGCATACTTGGCGTTTTTCCTTTGTGGTAATTGGCAAGTGTTGACCTTGCTTATGTGTTTTGAGACAGTATCTCAAAATTGTCCTAGAATTCAACTATAGAGATGGCTGGCCTCAGTTTGTAGATTAAAGAAAAACTCACCATGCCTTAGAATATTCTGCTATTAAACTGCCTGTCTTCAGTTTGTTGCCAGCCTTTACAATGTCCTGTCATTGTTCCTGGTTGTGGATAAATTTTTCTGCTCTACTGATGCTTTGTGGTTTGGAATTCTTACACTAGTTCAGAGTGCCCTTGCCCAAAGTTTGTACTAAAAGTATTTTAACACTTTTTTTTTTTTTGCTTTTTTGTGTGTGTTTTAACACTTCATCTAATTCTTTTTCTTTTTTCTTATTTTTGTTTTGTTTTTCAAGACAGGAGTTCCATGTTTATCCATGGCTGTCCAAGAACTCTATAGACCAGGCTGCCCTTGAACTCAGAGATCTCCCTCATCCCAAATGCTGGGATTAAAAGCATGTGTCACCACAGCTCTGCCCTCTGCCTAATTTATCACTAATTCAAAGTCTTAATGCTTAGCCATTTTTTCTACAGTTTTCATAATTAGTGGGAGGAATCTAGTTTGGTTTTTTCTTTCTCCTGTAGATGTTAAGTTTTCTTGGTATCATTGATGAGATGGTCTTAGTTTCTTCACAGGAAACGTTTCTACCTTTGAAAAAATGAGTTGGCTGTGAATCTGCAGTTGTGTATGGGTTCTCTGTACCGTGTCTGGGTGCAGTTGAAGCACGCCTAGTCAGGTAGTCTCTGCCTTATTTTAACACTGACAGTCACAGTCTTTTGGTTCCATGCACGTTTCCTGATTCCTATTTCTTTAGGATGTTAAAAAGATGTTCATTTGATACTCTGCTTTATTTTTTGGCTTTGTGTTTCTATGTGCATGTTGTGTCCTGCAGACTCTAGTACTGCTTTTTCTGTATCACATGTTATTTGTTGTGTCTCCTTTTTATATATGTGGAGAAATATTAGTTTCCCTTTTGATTTCATCCTTGATTCATTGGCTATTCAAGAGTAACTGAATTTCTACGTAAACTGAAAAATGGAGATACAACTCATGAGTCGAAAGCAGGAAGATCACATGAGTATAGTCAAAGGTTCATTAATTGATAAATCTCATAGACCCAGAACAGGGTCAGATGCTGTAATGGTTTCAAAACAAAGCTGGTGTGGCACACACCTTTAGCCTCAGCAGAGGCAGGTGGATCTGAGTTCCAAGGCCAGTCTACAGAGCAGGTTTCAAGACAGGGCTACACAGAGAAAGCGGTCAGGAGGGTTGTCTAGGAAGAGTTTAAGGTTTGTTCACCTTTCATTCAAGCTTGTAAAACAGTTACAAGCAAGGCAGTGCTGTGACATGGTTTGTTTTTAAGCCTCTGACTCTTTTTGCAGTGTCTTCTGCTTATTTCCTTGCCTTCTAATCGGTCTTTTAATATTTACTTGATATAGTCCAAATTATTATGTACTTTGTATATTAAAGAGTACTAGTCTGCCAAGGAGTCCAGAGATATACAACTTTTATTCTCTTTATAAATACAGGTACAGGATGCCAAAGAAAACCAAAAGCAACCTTATAGAAATAGAAAACAGAAGTGAAAAGTTTATTTTGAAGAGGGCCTCACTGTACATAGACCAAGCTGGCCTGAGGAATTTCTGACAATCCTGCCTCCCGACTGTAGATTAAGGGCAGTGGTCACCAGCCAGCAAGAGATTTCTTTCGATCAGTGGATTAAACAGATTGAGTCCAAACCAGTTCAACTTTAGGGAACATACAGTTAGGCTTAAGGGACTCTGCATGAATAAAGCATAGTATGGTTTCAGATATGTTTGTGATTAAATTGGGAACTTGGTATTAGTGGGATGGAAAAAATGGGATACAACCTAAGGTTGGATGCTAATAAGGACATTACAATTTCTGAGCAGAGGGCTTCTAATTGTATGTATATGAATACACTGTTGCTGTCTTCAGACACACCAGAAGAGGGCATCAGATCCCATTACAGATGGTTGTGAGCCTCCATGTGGTTGCTGGGAATTGAACTCAGGACCTCTGGAAGAGCCATCAGTGCTCTTACCTCTGAGCCATCTCTCCAGTAGGCTTCTAATTGTAAACAGGTACTTTTATAAATTCTATTTTCAGTAAGAAAATGTGATGAGTTAATGTGTTCATTGTGCCTTGAAGGAGGAATGTTTTTATAGGATAGGGGTTGGGGTGGTATGTGTGTGAGTGCAATTGCCCTTTTGGACCAGAAGGGGGTATGGGATCTGACGCTGGAGTGCTGCTGCTGTGAGAGAGCTGGGTCCTGAACTTGGGTCCTGAAAGCGGTAAGCACACTTAACCACTGAGCCATCCCCATCATTGACCTGAACAAGAGACCAGTCCAAACAAGACATTGTTTTAGTGGAAATTAAAATTAGTTTTCATTAAGTCTACTAACTCAAACCTTTTAATACACACTGTATGATATTTTTCACTAAGGATGAAAGACTAAACCTCCTAATTTACAGATTCTGACTGAATAGTTCTTTGTTAATAAAGGGCTAATACTAGTTATCCTCCGAGACCTCTGCCTTGTTAAGGAACTTACCTGAGAGCTCAATAGAGTTTCAAGTCTTAAAAAAACAAGCTGGGGGCGGGGATCACGGGCTGGAGAGATGGCTCAGCAGTTCAAAGAACCTGGGTGCTGACAGTGCACACCTTTAATCCTGGCATTCCCAGTTCCCCCCTCACACAGTCTCTTCCCCCCAGCACCACTCCTCATCTGAGAGGGTAGAGCTTCCACCCCATCCCCAACCCCAGTATCCCAGAGATGGCACAGCAGTTAATAGCACTGGCTGTTCTTAGAGGTCCTGAGTTCAATTCACAGCAACCACATAGAGGCTCATAACCATCTATAATGTTATCAGATGCCCTCTTCTTGCATGTATGTGGACCTGCAGATAGAGCACTCTTTTATTTGGGTTTTTTTTTTTTTGAGACAGGGTCTCACTAGGCAACTCTGACTGTCCTGGAACTTAGTAGGCCAGGTTGGCCTTGAACCCCAGATCACCCTGCCTCTGACTCCAGAGGGCTCGAGTTAAAAGATGATTGCCTCCACTCCCAGCTTGGAAGAAGGAATCTTAATTGAGAAAATGGCTCTATAGGATTGGTCTACAGGCAAGTCTAGGGCTTTTTCTTGATTAATAATTGCTCTCAGAGGGTTCAGCTCACTGAGTCAGCATCACCCCTGGGAAGGTGAGCCTGAGTACTATAAGAAAACAAGCTGAGCTGCGTGCTGGTGGCAGGCAGATCTCTGTGAGCTGAGGACAACCAGGGCTACACAGAGAAACCCTTTCTTAGGAAAAAAGAAAACCGAGCAAGCCAGAAGACACCATTGCTCCACGGCTTCTGCTTCAGCTCCTGCCTTGAGTTCTGCCCTGACTTTCCTGAGCGATGGAGTGTGGGCTCAGCACTGTAAGCTGAAATAAACCTTTTTTCTCCCCAAGTGCCTTTTGGTCATGGTGTTTTATAACAGCGATGGAAACCCTGACTGAGACAGGAACCACTGGCGAAAGTAACCTTCTCCTTAAGAAATAGTTTTAAATGAGTGATTTGACAATCTTTACATTGAGACTGTACACTCCAGGTCCAGCACGATGGCTCAGTGGGTGAAGACATTTGCCACCAAACCTGAGGACATGAATTGGATCCTGAGAACCTGCTCCCCAACCCAAGTTGCCCTCAGATCTCCATATTCACAGCGTGGCATGTATGCATGTGCACACACAATAAATATAAAAGTACAAATAGAAAGGCTGTGTTTGGGGACTCAATCACTGAAGGAAGCAGATCCCTGTCTCTCAAGTTGGATAATTAAAAACTCTAAAAGAATCAGACCTAACTGTAAGACTTGCAGATATGAAACCACTCGTCTGAACTAGAAAGCTGCCACTTACCATTGGGCACAGTGACAGACAGTGTTCCTAAAGGCTTATCACAAACTGAAGGTCTGGGGCTGGACAGATGACTCTGCTTTAGAGAGTGTATGACTGTTTTGGAGGACCCGATTTCAAGTCTCAGCAGTTCTATCTGTAGTCAGGCAGGTCACAACTACGTGTAACTCCAACTCCCAGGGGGATCCCACACTTCTGACTTCTGTGGGCAAATGCACTCACACAGTGCACAGTTGCACAGACACACAGAAAGACAAAATCTTAAAAAGAAACAGCAAACTGAAGCCCAGACTGGATAAGCTGAGCACCTGCTCCAAAATAAAGAGATGAACCGGTAAAGTGCCTTGCTGTCAAGCCTGACCGAGTGGAGTCCCCAAGAACCACACTGTAAAGGAGAAAAACAAGTCCTCTGACCTCCATGTGTATAACATGGCATGCCTCGATATACACAGAAAACCAGTAAAGATAATGATAGAGAAAAAAGAGGGCTTTTTTAAAGGGAAGGAAGGATAGAAGAGGGACCTCAGTGGGAGAGGAAGCCCCTAGCCACTCAGAGCCTTGTGCCAGGGTAAGGGGATACCCCGAGGGACCCACCACCTGCTCCAAGGAGAAGTGGTGGAGGAGGAAGGATTTGGGATGGGGTGACTGGGAGGGGAGTAGTGAGTGGGATGCAAAGTGAATAATTTAAAAAAATAAAATTAAATTTAAAAATGGACCCAAACAGAGAATTCTCAACAGATGAATCTTAAATGGCTGAGAAGCCTTTAAAGAAATGTTTAGCATCCTTAGTTATCAGGTAAGGACAAATCAAAATGACTCAGATTTTACACTCGGCAAAATGGCTGAGAAAAAAAATCTGCTGTTCATCCTGGCAAAGATGTGGAACGAGGGCAACACTCCTCCATTGCTGATGGGAGTGCAAACTTGTGCAACCTCTTTGTAAGTCATTTAAAGCTGGGAATAGACCTATCTCAAGACCCAGGTATACCACTCCTGGGTATACATCCAAAAGATGCTCAAGCATACCATAATGACAATTGCTCAACTAAGTTTTCAGTAGCTTTACTCATAATAGCCAGAAGCTGGACACAACCCAGATGTCTGTCAACCGAAGAATGGATAAAGAGAATGTGGTACATTTACATAATGGAATATTACTCAGATATTAAAAACAAGGACATCATTACATTCTCAGGCAAATGGATGGATGGATGTAGAAAAGATCATCCTGAGTGAGAGAACCCAGACCCAGAAAGACAAACACGGTATGTACTCACTGATAAGTGGGTATTAGCCTCAAAGTACAGAATAACTGTTCTAGAATCCACAGACATAATGAAGCTAAGTAACAAGGAGGCCTGTGGGGAACACTTCTGGAGTCAAGTTTGCTTGTGATTAATCACGAATGAGTCTGCCAACATCTGTCTTTGTTTTTAATTAAGACATGCATCATGCCCTGACAAGTTTCTCTGCTTATGCATACATCCTGAGAGACTGTCCTAGCCAGAAGGAAACAGCCTTAGTCAAACAGATACTGTGTACCCTAAACTTGCCACATAAGAATTTGTGGTCACTGTTTATCTTCCTGGAATTGGTCATGCTTTGTGTTGCTTGCCTTTTAAAGACACTGAGAAAATACACTTGCTGCTGGCATGGTATTCACCAACAGCCCTCACATACCTGTCTTTGGCATCTTCTTTCTGCCTTTCCTATAATCACCCTCACTCCTCCAGTCGTGGTTCCCACGTTGCGTGACAGCTGGCTTCTGCAAGGGCCCACGGAGGAATAATTGAATTTCACTGAGAAGAGGAATTAAAATAGACATAGGAGTGTTTGGAGAGAGGGAACTGGGCTTGGGGGGTTGGGGAAGGGGACAGGAGGGATCAGTTATAGGGATGACAGGAAAACATTGCTGGGACAGGGGACTGAAAACAGTTGCAGGTGGGACAGGTGCATCCCTGGGTAATTACTCTGCCACTCAGGATTATTTCTTTGTGTACCTTTTGTGCAATTGGTTTCTTCAGTTTTGTTTTTTAATTTTTTTTTTAATTCTTCACTTTACTTGCTGCTCACTGCCCCCCTCCTGGTTACCCCCACCTGTAATCCTTCCCCCATTTTCCTATCCCCTTCTCCTCTGACTGGGTGCGGGCTCCCTGGGTATCCCCCCCACACCCTGGCAATTGAAGTCTCTGTACAGCTAGGCACTTCCTCTCCCACTGAAACTAGACAAGGCAGCCCAGCTAGTAGAACATAGCCCGAATACAGGTAACAGCATTTGGGAAAGCCCCATTCCAGTTGTTTGAGACCCACATGGAGACCAAGCTGCCCATCTGCTACATATATGTGGGGAAGCCTAGGTCCAGCCCATGTATGTTCTTTGGTTGGTGGTTCAGACTCTGAGGGCCCCAAGGGTCCAGGTTAGTTGACTCTGTTGGTCTTCCTGTGGATTTCCTATCCCCTTCGGCCCCCACAATCCTTCCTATTTTTCTACCAAAGTTCCCGAGCTCCATCCACTGTCTGTATCTGAGTCAGCTGCTGGGTCGAGCCTCTCAGAGGACAACTTGTTCCAGTCTGCAAGCATAACAGTGTCATTAATAGTGTTAGGGATTGGTGCTTGCCCATGGGACAGGTCTCATGTTGGCTTGGTTATTGGTTGGCCATTCCCTCAATCTCTGCTCCCTCTCCGGGGCCTGCATTACTTTAGACAGGATACATTTGGGGTTGAAAGGTTTCGAATGAGGTTCATCCACATCATAAGACTTCCTCTAGACTCTGCTGAGTAAGTTCTCTTTTCTGAGTAAGTTCTCTTATGCATACTGAGGTCAAACTTCTACTGGAACATTTCCCCAGTGACTCCATTTCCAGAGACTTTCTTCACAGGGTGATCTTGTATTTAACAAGGAGTGACTTCCAGTTTTTTAATGATTATATTTCTTGAAGAGTGTTTTCCCATTGTGGACTTTGTCATGTATATTAAGGCATGAATGAGGCCAAAATTATTTTCAACTTTAATTACCTCATAGATTTTTCTAAATTATGAAAGTATTTTCCACATCCATGGCATCCAAGTTTCTCTGCAGTATGAGTTCTCTCAGATATACTGAATAAAAACACGGGTGAAGCTTTTATATTCTTTACATTCCTCCTAATCTAAATATTCCCTCCATCTCAATACTTAGATGCACTCCAAGTTTTGACCTCTAGGGGGACCTTTTTCCTCAGTTATTACATGATTCATTCCTGTGTGAGTGGTTTTATAAGTTCTCAAGTACAGGAACTAGAGAAACTTCCTTCATAGTCATTCAACACATTCCTAAACTTTCTCAACCCCGTGTGCGTTCTCTCTTGTAAATTGACATTATTTGTTTTATACAAAGAACACTTACACACTGTATATACAGTGTATATACACCCTGTATCTAGATAGCCTCTTTTGTGAGCCACCTTTTGGTTGCTGGGAATTGAACTCAGGACCTCTGGAAGACCAGTCAGTGCTCTTAACCGCTGAGCCATCTCTCCAGCCCCTGAAGTGGATTCTTGCTTGAAGTTCTTGATGTATTATGAGGCTTAAATGCCCTTGAGGATGTTGGGCAGGTGACTGTGCCACCAGATGGGCATGAGACTGGTGAAGTGGTTTGATGCTCAAGCCCTGGGAAGCTCAGAGATCTGAAATGGCAGGAGTAGGGCTGCTCCGTCCCTGCCTCTATGCCCCACTCTGGAGCACATAATCATGGCCTTAACTAATGTGACCATAGGAAGTCAGCCACATAGCACAGGGCCTGGAGCCTGGAATGCCTCTCCATGCTAATGAGGCATCTCAATAGCCTTAGCCTTCAGCCAATGACCTTCCCTTTCTGGATATTCTCATACCCTTCCCCAAAATTACATCATTCCTCATTCACCCAGAATAAAGCCCATGTGTTCACATCGACCTCTAATAAAGCAACACAAACAAGCTAAGATCAGTCTCAGAGAGCCTCTTCATTAAAGGCCTTCACCTAAAGGAGTCATAACACTAAAGCTCCAGAAGAAGACCTCTCTCTTCTCCTGCTCCTCTGACTCTCAGCACTTGCTCCAAACAGGACCATGTTCCTTCCCCTCCTGCACAGTTTTCACCCTTCCAGGCTGGCATGCAGCAGTGTCTGACACCCCAAGAGAAACCTAGACTGCAGACCCCTGTCTCTGACTTCGCTTTGTCTTCCCCAAGCCAGTGCACTCGCTGCCGTCCACCTCCAGAGGAGAGGCAGGACACGGGACCACACCCATAACCATTCCTATCACAGCTCCCCATGTCGGTGAGTTCTCTGATGCCTGCTTAGGTTTGATTTCTGTGAAAAGGTTTTTCTACACACATTACATTCATAAGGTTTCTCCCCAGAATGAATCAACTCGTGTACAGTGAGGGATGATATGTACCAAACATGTTTCCACACTGAATGCATTCATAGGGCTTTTCACCAGTGTGGATTCTATGATGCTTACTGAGGACTCACTTCCACTGAAACGTTTTCCCACATTTATTACATCATAATACCCAAGCACAGGTGACCAGCCATGTGGCAGAATGCAGGTTAAAATAATTGGGTTATCTAAGTTATGATCTGCTCAGAGTTGACCCTAGCTATATGGTCAAAGTATTTTGAGTCTCAGTCTTATTTCTAGGAGCATGGGGCTGGGAGGAAGTACTCCGACCAAACTTGTGCACTCTTGTACAAAGAAAGAGAGACTCATGTCATTAAGTCATATATGCCCCACTCTCCTACCTCAGTTATGCAGTATAGGTCATATGCCAACATAACCTCCTTCCTACAAGATTCCCCGTCACTCAGAAGTCTTTGAAAGAATAACCTTTGCTTAATC